TGTCCTGGCCTAGTTGTATTGATCACAAAACCCCAAAACCCCAAAACCCCGTCAATTAGAATGGGCAAAAAAGTACAAATGGATTTTAAATTTTATGATATAATTAATCTATTGGTGACTATCTATTGAATTAATCGTTAATACTTGTTTCATAATTAAATCTTCTTTTGATCTTTTAAGAGTAAGTCAATCACAATATCAATTCTATCTTTACAGGAAATCAATAGCTTGTTATTTTTCTCGAAATTTAGGAATCCTAAACTCATAAGCATTTATAAACTTTTCTTCCTATTTTTATAAATTTTTCCCTTGTTCTATTTCATTAAAGCCTGATATTCCTCTTCTTTTTATTCTTACTCGGTATATAATGAACTTTAATTAAAACATGAGATATTTGACTGGCCGATAGTTTCGCTGATCATTTTTGCTTGAACTTCAAATTCAATAATCACTGGCTTTCCGAAATAAGACACTTGAACAGATCCATCAATCGATGCCTCAAACCCCAATTTGAATATTAGTTAATATTTCCCTACATCTTCTGGTGCTTTTACTTTTATAGCTACCTTTCTTTTCTCATCCAAACTTACAGGCCCATTCATTTTGATAGGGGCATTTGTTACTATCTCAAAAGGATTATCTATAAGGTAAAGCTTAGTTTCTAAAGGCCAATCAGCATCTCCAGTATTCTTGTAGATAAAAATTCTCTTTATAATTTCTTGGTTATCATAAACTGATTCATCTAAGTTTGAGAGTGGGTCTATTTCCTTAAATTTACAGCCTAGCTGCTCTAGTATCATGAGCTTGGGATCGGGTCTGTGCTTTAAATAAGGATGCATATGCTCATAGATATCTTCACATTAGGGACATAGGCTAAGGTCCTAGCATTGATTACAGCTAAAGTAGATATCTTTGTGCTTATTTATTCTCTTTTAACATTTCAGACAAACAATCTCTTTAGATTTCTAGGAAGTTTTTATGTGGAATTAACGAATTTCAGGAATTATTAATTCATCTCAAATCAACTGCTCAATCAGAGCATCTTGTTGATGCTTTAAACTGGTCATAATAACATCTTGAATATTATCCTTTTTAACTTCTATAGTCTTGTCCTCCATTACTTAATCTTTAATTTCTGGAATCTTTTCGTCAGGCTTAGGCTTTATCCAGGTATCTGAGTATTTTTTAAACTGCTAGGAGGTCATGAATTAATTGCCTTAACCAGTTTCAGCTACATAGCATGAGACTTTATTTGTGAAATTTTGAAACTTTCTAATATCAACTGAGCCATCTGGCTTTACATTTAGAGTTTATAGTACTTTCGCAAAATTAATCATCATCATTGAGGAAATTGGAATAGAATCAGGTTTATCCTTAATCTTGTGTGCTATCTAGAGATCAATTAAGTAGCATCCTTCCTCTAGTTCACATATATCTTAATACTTTATGAGTTCAATTTTAAATTCGTTGTTAAACAAGCTAATGTTTTCTATAATTTTGTTTATCTCGTTCTATTCCTCTATAATGATGTTATCAGCTACACAATCCATTGACTTGAATTTGAAAACTGATTTATTAGTGCTTTAAAGTATTTAACTAAACTTTTCCTTGAATAGCCTTTGTAGTGTCTAAATACTTATAGCAGATTTGTTTATTTCTTAATCTTCTTGTCTATTTTAGTAAAAAAGACTTAGTTTAACTTTATCAGTGCTTGATTTTTCCATAGGCAATGCTTAGCAATTTAAAATTTTAATAAATTAAATGATTTTTTTAAATAATTAGATCACTAAGTGAATAAATAAAATATGAGTACGAATTTAACTTATAATCCCCAGCATTTATTCAATAAGCTTGCTTAGCCTCATAAGAAATACAATTCCATAATACAGATAAAGAATGATTTTATAAACCTTAATGGATTGCCTCAAAACATTAGCAGTGATGTCGATAGCTCTAGGCTGTTAGAAGATCACCCAGATATAAAGGAAGCTGTAGCTGCTACTAAATTGCCATAAATACAAATAAGACAAAACTTGACCTCAAATAAAAATGAATCATCACCCTATGTGCTTCGAAAATCTGTTTTACAATAAATGAATAGTATGAATCAGATAATCAAGTAAAATAGTGGGAATCCTAATCATCAATACAACCATGACAGAAATACATCCATGACTTATGAGAGTTCAACTTAGATCTCTAGTGGAGTGTTTTAGCCGCTTTATGATCACAATAACATATATCAATTCCAGAAATACGATAATGAAATACAAAAATTATCTAAGGTTCAGATGAAAGCAATAAATTAAATGTAGCGCAGTATCTAAGAAAATAATTAGAATGCGATACAAAATAATAGTGTAATATCATAGAAATCTAGAGTAAACTAGTGAAAGTAGTCATTGTAGTCAGTGATACCAAGCTACACTTAAGTCGAATAAGTAGGATATACTAAGCTTGCAAATAATAATAATTCATTAAGCGCAGAAGAAATCACAAGCAGATTCAAGGAAATGTACAAAATCTATAAAAATTCATCATAAGAAGATGCTGAAGTTTAGATTGAAAGTCCTAAGAAGCAATCACCCGTGAATAAGATTTGCAAAATTCTTGAAAATAATGATAATTTCTCTATGACAAGTCGGGTAAAAAATCTTAGATTTTAAATAAACCAAAATCTTAATGCTTCCAAAGAAAAATCAACTCTTAAATCTGCTAAATAGGTTAATGATCGCCATTCAATAATCATAAAAGATGAGGCGAAATAGGTTAATCAACAAATTACTTAGTAATTATACGATATAATACAGAATAAAGAATATCTTAAAAGTATAGTTTAAAAGGAGAAGAAGAAAATTAGTAACATTCAGATGAAGGATTAGATAATTTATGATAGTAATTAGCACTAATCAAATTAGTTTGAGAGTAGCAATTGTATCTAAAGCAACAGTAGTATCAATCAATTGTCTTAGAATAAGAGAAGTTCTATGCAAATTAATGGCAATGAATCATCAATGAGGGTAAGAGAATTTTAAAAAGTCATTAAAAATGCATATTAAAACTATTACAAGAAAGCTAAGGTTGATAGTAGAGAGACTCCCTTTACTAATGAAAGTTTGAGAAGAAAATTATCTTAAAATATGAGTGATGCCAAATTAAGCAAGAACCAAATAAATGATTAAAACAATAAGAAACACAAACACAAAAATGATCCTAATTCATACGGGGAGCTTTTTATTGAAAGTTAAAGTTTCCATGTTAAAAAAGAGATGAGGAATTCAAAGTAGTTATATAACTTATCGTAGAGTAAAGAGACTTCCACATCTAGTTTCAGGAATTTCGATAATATCTATGACATTTAGTAATTAAACCAAGATAGATCCCAAGTAAGAATAGAATCTCAAAAAGGGCATCGAAGTCGCCAGAGAAGTAATTAAGTTGTTATGAATTTTCCGATTTAAAGTTAGATTATCAGCGGCTAGTAACATATAAGTAAGGGCAAAAATGAAAGTGTACTAAAGTATTTAAAATTGCACTAGATCGAGGACTAAACATGATTTTGCATTGAAGGTTAGTTCTTTTATATTGTCATTGTAATAAACTAATATAATGAGCATTTCAGTGATTAAATAATCAGATATTATATAATATCTTCATTTCCTTAAAATTATTACTACTGGGGTTTTGGGGTTTTGGGGAGATCGGAA